TCCTTAGTCAACAACGCCATATGCTGAATAACTGAAAGCTTAGCACAAAAGTGATAAAGCACAAAAACACTTGCAAAGTAGGAGACGAATCCCGGGTGGATGAAGAGGTTACTGAAAGGTATTTATTTGTCATTTAGCAAAGAACAAGATTAAGAACTGCAATTATCATTTGTTTACATTCTGGAGATCATTATCCAGTGTTTCGCATTTAGTTATGCCTAGCCTGTGTCACTCTGCCTGGCTTTCAGTACGACTTCGCAAAGAAGCCCAACTGTTTAGTTTACCACATTCCATGCACCACACAAAGGTAGAGACATAAAACTAAATGGAAGTTTAACGAGCGAAAATTTGAGGGAAAGTAAATAGCGACAACATGAGTTGAATAGATGCGTGAGATTACACAGAGTGAATGCATCTGTGCCATAAACAAAGACTTGCAGACATATATCTAGTAGTTCTTCTAGCTGACTGTCAACGATTTTATGAACCAATAGCAGTTTTTCATTCGACCGACCCAAACACATTTTGAACCTTAACATGTGCTGGCTAACATTATCCCTCGAGGAAGGCGATGGCTTGGTATGCAATCACGTGTTATAGTCATCTCAACCTATTCAGCTTCCCTACTTTGAAGACTAACTTACCCTCCCCACCTAACACTTTATGCGTAACCTCAAGAGCAATCGCCATATTATACTGCTTTAATCATGAGATAGAACACAGACACCTATTATCAAACACCTGTATTCTTTTCATATCTTCCAGTTTCAGGGTTTACTTCTCATAGTCTAGGTGTATAGTATCATCAGTAAACTGTAAGTTGATGATGATAATAAGTCTCTAAAGTCATTTATAGACTATCCTACTGATATATGTGTGATTGGATTGAAATGATATGAGGATGACAGTTTAAGAATTTTGTCTTGTGTTACATCCCAATTGGAAATGTGTTTTATCGGATAATACGCAAACAGTAATCACTGAATAGAAAACATTCTGTAGAACTTATGAAACTCATTAACTGACGCAGTACTTTTGCAGGCATTATAGTGTTTCCTCAATAAAGCGAGATTTGTATATTTTGGGTGCATAAAACGAGTGAGTGGTATCCTGGCAATACCAATGACTACAACAAGTCTTGAAATCATGCACCACAACTTTTACTTTACTGAATACTACAGCAGATTTGAAATAAATACTTGACAAATATCGAATTTATACAGGAAGTCAGTAAGATTTACTAAACTAAAAGCACTTTCGGTTTACATCGGAGATCTCCATGCCGAATTTATTCCTCCGAGGGCCTACACAGATTACAACTTCAATTAAATAACATTGACGTTGAAGAAATTCCATTCTTCATTACTAAACTTAATGATAATAATGATGTTTTTATTCTAGAAACAGGAGCATTCCTAATGTTTCACTTTATGTAAATGCAGTTAAATACAGTTGCACTAAGAACTCAATGCAACTCGGTGCACAATAGAATATACACAAATAAACTGAAAAATAACGTCCTCCTTACCTTCTGAACAACTTTTCTTTATTACAGGATAATAACTTTCTTTCACGTATGAGCCTGAGATATGTCTATGAAATCACAATATTATATCAGTTAAATCTCGCCCCGAAACCAAGGCCACTTGAAACCAATAGCAACATTGAGACAAACGTCATTGGGGGGATATGCAATGAAGTCGCTCGGGAAATTGAGAGTCGTTCAAATGACTTTAGTCATGTGGACCATTGGACTAGTTACACTAATTTTCATGTCAGATTAATGATATCTGTATGTGGCCAATGCAGTTGTCTACACTTTCAAAAGTGTTAATTATGGGAACCTCTCCTGTGTGGCTAAGAATGTGAGAGCAGCATTCGACGCTACGCACGTACAAAAACTTAAGAACACTGGAAGGAGTATAACTTATAAAAGCGATTGCATCTGGCTGTTGACAAGACGCAGATCGCGAAATCAATTTTCAGGTGGGTGTGTGAACGTGGAACTGGGTTCAAACAACACTAGATGGTAACTCAGCATGTTTGAAATATCTCACAGTGAAATAAATGAGGGCGGAGGTATTTTTGCGGAATTCTGCGTCTTAAGTGATTTGGTAAATGGGGGCAGCATGTACAAGAACAAGGGCATGCATAAGGCGACAAGGGTTCCCCAGCATCAGATAGAAAGTGGACACGGAATTAGGAAGAGGAGTGGCTGGTCATTTAAGAGTCCATGCTAAATAAAATTCAACACACACTGAAAATACCCTCAAGTTACAGCACGCGTCTGGCCATCTAGTAGAACCTTAGTGAGAGGTAAGGAATCAAACGTCGTATAGTGATATGGGCAAGGTTGTATGAATAGAAAATGATAGCTTGGGTAGAGTCAGCAATCAGTCAAAAGTAACGGCAGGTAGACAGATGTAAAGGAAATGTGCTTCTGAGGCCATATGTTCCACTCGTAAGGCAAGTCATTTGTCATAATAATAATAATTCACTTTATTCCACAACAATAACAATTTGCAGCATGGAATTTTCAGCGTTTCTTTTACATATTGCAATGGTTTAGCTCTGTTTATAATTATATAAATGTATAAAATGTTAAAATATTGATAGTTAATAGGAAAAATAAAAACCCCAACAAAATCACACCATTGCTAGGTCATAGTGAATAATAAATAAATAACATAACAAATAACTCATGCATTAATATGCATCATTACATTTTACAGTTTAGTTAATGATTGAGAAGTTGTAAAAGTTCTTTTCTGATATTTGTCTCTTCACACAATACTCGTGCCAAATATGGTACGGTCGAATTTTTATATTTTGTAGTACGAGCATAAATGTTTATGAAATTTCTTCTGGTCTTAGCCGAAGAGATGCAAGGAAACAATTGTGAATAAAGAGGATGTTCACTATCAGACAAAATAACTTTAGCTAACTGTTTACAAGAATTCATATGCCTATTGACAACAGTGTCGGTTAGTTGAGTCAAAGGGATAGCACTGACCCTACTTACAGCCTTCAATGTTCTTCGTAGTATTATATATGGGAAGAATAATGGAGAACAACAACAACAATGATGGGCAAAACACATGAATTAATAAGTTGTATGAGAAGAGGTTGGGTTATACCTGAGTGCCTCAACTTCTTTATGCAATAAGTCAGACGGAAAACTTTCTTAGAAACTATAAGAATATGAGACGACCAGCAAAGGTTTGAAGAGAAACTAATTCCAGGATAAGAAACACTTGACTTACTCTCTATCATGGTACCATCAATATTACAAGAATCATGAGATTGGATCAATCCATGCAAATCTTTTTCACTTCTCAAGCTGAAATCAACATTATTACATTTAGTTGGATTTAGTTTAAGACCATTTGAGCCAGGCCAATCCTTAACTTCAGCTAAGAAGCCATTCATATGGGAACAATCCGATGTGGAAACTACAGGGACAGAAACGGTCAGATCATCAGCATACTTAGTGAAGTTAACTTTGGGTGAGTTCGGAAGGTCATGCAAAAAGAAAGAGAAAAGAAATGGAGAAAGTACTGCACCTTGAGGCACACCACTTTCAGTTAGCTGAGAAGTGGAGCGCTTTCCAGCCAAAACAGTATGCTGTTTCCTATCCTTAAAATAAGAAGACAACCATCTAGTTGCCCAGGACTCTGTTTGTGCTGAAATAATCTTTCCTAATAAAAGTGTCCTAGGAACAGAGTCGAAAGCTGCAGTATAGTCTAAAAAAGCTGTTCGAACGAACTTAGCACCCTTATCAAGGCAGGAAACAATAATGTGGTGTAGTACAATGGCTGCATCTAATGTACTTCTTCCACACTAGTGGTGGTGCCTTAAGTGAACCTGAAGGCGTAATAGGAGTGTTTGGTAGTTTTCATAATGATAGTAAAGAGAAGCTGAAGTATGTCACGCACGTATTTCCTTATAACAGTGGACGTCACGTAATAAATGTATTCAACAACTGTTTTGCATGTGTAGTCAGTGTTGGCTGAAACAGATTTCATTCTGATAGATAAACTGCGTCAGTGCATATCATAAATACTTATAGACTTCGCTGTCTACAACCAGCTGCTGCTCTTAAAGTGTTTAAAAAATAACTCGGGCAACTAAAAAACACATCAATTCGGTATTATTGATGGAACAACCAACTACCATTAGTTATTTCTAGTGTTTTCAGGTGGTGTGGAATGCTAATCAGACGTTAACATAAGTCAAGTTATTGTGAAAGGGATCGACTTAGATATGCAGTTACACTAATAAGTTTGCTTTTATGACTACACTGAATGACCAACGGGAGTTAGGTCAAACTCCATTCACGGCAGCAACTCAATCCTAACATACTGCACACTACAAACCACATTTTGACCAATCCCCACACCACTCCTCTTGGAGTCTATTAGAGCTAAAGCAGTTGAGTGGCGGGACTTACTACGCATAATTTCACCGAAGATCTGGAATCTCTACCTTACAACCAAGAAGTGAGCTCAAAGAAGTCACTGGTTTATACTAGCTCGTAATCAGGATATTGGATATTGGAAGTAATATGATTTCTGAGATGATTCCCACCTCCCAGATATTTACAAGCGTAAATGACAACACTTGAAATAGGTGGACTTTCAGACATCAGTCACATATTGAGTGATGATTGTCACAGAGCTCCGCATGTTCTGCGAAGCAGAATCTGAAACCCATGGTAAAATTATGCCCTCTCTCCAAAATTATGTGTCTACTCATTCTGAGTTCAGGCAATCTGCAGCAATTGAGGGGACATATCGAATTTTAATCCACCAAAAACCTAGAGCTCTTCCTTAACGACAGTAACTAACCCCCAGAAAAATCACAAGGCATATAACAAGTTCGCCAAGAAGACATTGGATATTGTTTTCAGATGCATACTTAGGAGCGTACAGTTTGAAACTCTACTTTACCTTTTCGTGCTCTGTTTTTGGAGCTTTTCGTTACATAAATGCGCCTCAGATATGGATTCTGTTAATGCACATTCATTACAAGATATGCAAAGTTGCAATATATCCAACGATCAAAGTGTGCCTATGAGCCAAGGTACAGATTCAGATGGTGTCTCCACCCAAATGGTAGATAAGTGTCAACGAGTCAAGATGTGGCAACAAACAAACTATCTTTCTGATTCTGGTATTCAAAGTGCTGTCGGGACACACACACCAAGCATCAGCAGTAAAATGGGCATCGATGATACTGAGGTAGATGATCGTTATTTTAGTCAAAAGTGTGGTCATTTACCTCAATGGTCATCTACATTTCCTCTCTCTGTCAACCCGTCGGACTCTTGCTTACTTTCTCCAGCTACCCCTAGTACCAGCAGTATTTTGGGTGTCGACTCCTTGAGTGATGTTGGTGGCTCACACTCAGCTAGTAATGTTGATTTAAGGGGAAACAAATTGCCTGAGATTGATACTGATGAAGCTGCTGGAGCCATCCCAGAACTTGTTAAACTCATTAAAGACGAAGATGACCAGGTCATTATTTATCAGTCATCAATGATGGTTTTCCAACTAAGCAAATCAGAGGCCATCGATGCTCTTATAAAATCCAGAGATATGATTGACTGCATTATATCTGCACTAGATCGAACAGAAGATCCAGAAACAGTGCGTTTTCTTGCTGGCACATTATACAATATTTCTCAAATGCAACCAGGTCTCAAGGTAAAGTGATTATTTTCTTAAAGACTTATACTGTAGGCAATATTTGCTGCTCAATGTATCCCATGTCTTGTGAAACTTCTCAATTCTCCAGTAGAATCAGTTTTGTTTTATGCAATAACAACATTGCACAACCTTCTGCTTCATCAAGAAGGGGCCAAGGCTGTTGTAAGACAAAGCGGATGTTTGCAGAAAATGACTGCCTTACTGCGGAAGAATAACATAAAATTCCTCACAATATGCACGGACTGTTTACAAATATTGGCTTACGGTCATCAAGAGAGTAAGCTACAGATACTATGCAGCGGGGGACCTGTAGAGCTGGTTCGCATACTGAAGACTTACCAGTATGAAAAGTTATTGTGGACTACGGCCCGAGTACTTAAAGTCCTAAGTGTGTGTGCTTCTAACAAGCCGGCCATAATTGTTGCTGGAGGAATGGATGCCTTAGCAAAGCACTTGCACAGTTCTAGTCATCGATTAGTATTGAATTGTCTCTGGGCACTTCGTAATTTATCTGATGCAGCAACAAAAATGGATAATCTTCAGCCCCTGTTGCATTCATTGGTACGTCTACTTGATTGTGGGGACAGTGGTATGATTACATGTGCAGCTGGAATTCTGTCAAACCTCACATGTAATAACCATGCAAATAAATTTGCTGTTTTCAAGGTAAGGAAATGAATTCACTTCAAACTTTGTTTTCAGATGGGTGGTGTAGAAGGGCTTTTACGTGCTGTCAGTCAACCTGTTGTTAAGGAAGATATTCTGGAGCCATGCATGTGCGCTCTGAGGCACTTGACAAGTCGTCATGAAGAGGAAGAGACAGCAAGACATGCTATAGTCCATGAACTAAATGGTTTACCAGTGATCGCTCGAATTTTACATGCAGCCACTGCTGGTATTTGCCCTGATCTCGGTCTGGTATGCCAACATCCTCAAAATCCGGTGGTTTCTTGGATGCTTGTGAAGGCTATGGTTGGCTTGTTGAGAAATTTGTCTGTCAATTTGGACAGTCATTTCGGAATGCGAGAGTGTGGACTTGTTACCGGTTTGTTTTTACTACTTTATGCTACTCAACACGAGATAGTGAGGGTAAGTATATTTTGTCACTACGTATTAACTATATTACTTGTGTCGATATATGTGAACGTTTTACTTAACCAATGGTAAAAACTCACTATCTAGTTAGAAAGGTGTATTCACTTATCTGTGCTTTCGTTGCTCACGACCATTGCTTTTGTATTAATTGTTTTTCTAGCCAGTTAAGGGGAAAAGCCAACTAGAGAATAGATTATTTAACGTGAATTGCATAAAATATTAATTGCCATCTATGTTTGTTATGCTAAGAACATCCAGTGATTTGAAGTAGTACTAGTTATATTTAGCAGTCAAACTGATTTTAAATTAGAATTTACTGATATTTGGAACAACTGAAGTGGCTCTGGGTCTTATCTCTAAATCTCTGTTGTTTGGTTTTTCTATATACATTTCCTCTCAAATTTTCATCGATCCGGATATTTTAGTTTCAACTACCAGGTTTTGTGTCCCAACAGATTCAGCTATCAAAGTTAGGTCAGTGTACACTGACGGACTGGTTGACATAGAACTGTGTTAAGGTGTATCTTTTTAAGTTGCCACCCTTCACACCAAATGTGACTGAAAGCTTAGTGTAGGAATGTATACACGAGGTAATGATGTAACCTCACTCGCATATTTAAACTGACCGTAGTGATTAATGAAATTTTGCCATTGATGAAACATCAGTTGGTATTCCAAAACTTACCAAATATATAGTGTGGGTAGTATCGATGTTTTAGACATTTAATTTCCCACCATCCAGTCGGGTTTTCAAACCATACTGCACTAAAGTCTTTATCTCGATTTATTTCATAATCCAGTACAAATACTTAAGTGATGCCCATTTACTGGTGTCTTTCTTTTTGTTACCACTTATGTATTATGAGCTAAATTTACAACCATATAGCTGACTGACTCTCTGGTTTCAACGTAGAAAGTTTCACAGATGTACAGCAGTTCGAGTTGCCATAGTGTAGTGTATTCCATAAATATTATACCATTGTCGTGTAGATAGTGTGTTACTACAAATATTCAATCATAAACCGTGGATTTTGTTCACTTTTGTTGAAATATACTATGTGACCAGTATCTAGATTGATATCTGCTACTGGTTATGATGAGGTGAGAATCTACGCATTTTAGATTAATTTCATAATAATTCCATATTAGTTTGTTCATTAGATGTATCACACAGTGAAGAAACAGTATTGTTTACTGGATGACGTTTCAAACAAAATTTATTGTTCATAGTCATATCAGTTATAATCACACGACTTCGAAACTTGAGTTTTATAGTTTTCTTTGTCCTCTCCTATTTGTCCTAGGGGTAGTAGAATTTTCCAGATATCTGGGATATGATTATGAACACATAAATTTTGTTCAAAACGTCATCCAGTAAATAATACTGTTTCACTGTGTGATACATCTAATAAACTAATATGGAATTACTTACTATCACAGTGCCCAAGTTTTACACATATTAATTTCATAGTAAGTAAGAGAAGTGTAGTAGTAGTATTAGTTGGGTAGATGACAAAATGGCAATGAGAGCAGTGAATTCCTCCTGTGTTCCAGTAAGACAACTGTTTTATTATCATGGAATATGTGTGATTTATATTAAGCTAAATTTTCAAATAATTTTTGATCCATGTTTTAGCGTTCTGTTTCTGGCGCTCCTGCTTCCCATCCAACATTTTCGACGGTAGTTCAAAGCGTAAGACTTGAAGAGATCGTGGAAGGAATTTGCGGGGCACTTCATATGTTGGCAAAGGATCATGCTACTCGTTCATATTTGGCTTTACTAAAGGTTTGTTTACAGTTATTTTTATGTGTATCAGTATGTTACTCGTTCAAGACTTACTTACTTGGTAAGTTGTTACAGCCCCAGTTAAATGGTAGCTAACAAAATCTCAGCACAAATGCAAAAGACCTGTTTGGCATTTCCTTGTTCGCATAGTCTTTAGTATCGGCAAAATATTCTGCCCTCTATCAGTGTGTGTACTCCACAGTGGGAGGGCTGTTAAAACGGATGATACGTGAATACTGTAGCCTCTTGGTCATAAATATCTTTCTGTTATTGTCGTCAGGTGCAGCGAAATGGATTATGATAAAATTTGATGCACAGTGTTAAGTAAGAAAGTTGGGACAGTCGATGAATTATTGAATGTATAGATTAAAACATGCCCCAAGAAATGAGGTTATACTGTGGTGTCTATTATTATTATTACTTTTTACGAGTTGATCACGGATTGATATCAGTTAGAGAACCATTGAAAACCAGGGAGTATTGGACAGCTATTTCCTGGTTTTCAATGGTTCTCTAACTGATATCAATCCGTGATCGACTCGTAAAAAAAAAACAAAACTAGTCCTTACAAACCAACTATAGAGAATTATTATTATTATTGTTATTATTATTATTATACATTCTTTGGGTTTCGAGTGGAACATATGGACTCAGAAGCGCATATCTATTGCACTCTATTCTCTGCCATCACTTTTAACTAACCCTACGACTATTATCAAGATCCCATTTTTTCCTGATATCTTCATCTCGCTCTCGGGAACCTAAGTCATCACTTTCCATATAGGGTCTCAACCAAGAACTTGGTGCGTAGTATCATCTGTAGGTCACATCAATGCATATTCAATCTGTCTCCACTTCCTACTGCATATATGTTGGGCAATAGACTTTTGCCTGATTGGCTGCATTATCAGGATTCCTTGTTGCTTATCCTTTTTGACCAACTATCTGATCTTTACTATCAATCAAGTGAAGGCATCTGTTGATGAAAGTCTGCAGCCTGTTTGAAATCTATTCAGTGACATCCGCGCTAAGTCTCTGAACCACATAGAAGCACTGCCTTGAAAGTAGTGTTCGAAAATTCGTATCTTTTCCATTGTGCTAAGTGGTGTTGGTCTCCACACTGCTTTCAGAGTAACGAGTACATATCTTGCTTTCCCTATTCTTACTTTGACGTCATCATGTGTTCTGCCTGTAACTAAAACTGTGCTACTCAGGTAGGGGAAGTAAATCCCTTCCTCTAGATTTCCATTAAGGGTGATTGGTGCTTGTCGTTATTGTTTGGTATCTCCATCACCTGTCTTTTTTGCCAACTCATTGGTTTTCACTTACATGTCTTTGAGTTCGTTCGACATGAGGCATAGATCATCTTATTTATTATTTTTTATTTTATCCCTCTATGTTCCCTCTTTATTGGTCTTATCTCCGTCTTAGCGAAGTTTAGGAGTGCATCGGCCGAGGATCGAACCTCGGACCACATGCGTCGAACCGTCGAACCACCGACGCACAAAAGCCCACGACATCAGGAGCAGAAGTCCAAAATCTCTTGAGCCTCCTCATTAGTCAATCATATGCCAGTTTTCTCACTCTCCTATGGTGTGCTGCATGATTCAGTCTGCCACAATCAGTAAGATCATCGTCAATCATAGGCAGCCACCTTTAACTCATTTTCAACGTGATCCTTCGTCAAGGAGGGTTTTGGTTCAACTTAGCTGGTGTGTGTCCTAGTTACCTAAAACAGTGAAACTGAAAAACCCCATCGATTAACTTACTATCTCTACCAGATGCCAAATTATTTTCTTCCAAATATCTTTATCTATCTTATCGTCGTTACACTGTTGTTACCCTCATTTTTGTGTGCTTTTTAAATGGTTATATATATATATATATATGATACGGGCTAAGACTGTTACCTTCACTTTTTCATAGGAAAACTGAATGTATTAATAACACTACACATTGGATGTTTCCATTTGACAAATACTTTAAGACTAACTATAATCAAACACTGGTTATATTTTATGTATTTCCAACAAATATACCACATAGAGTGGTATTTTAGGAAGGGCTGTGATATAGTCGAATACTGGTATAGACATAGCAAGTCAGTATTTATTATTTTTTAATATCGGATCTCTTTATAAAGCAGTAGTTGATTAAGTTGGAGATGTCCCATCTCACAATTCATTCTTAAATGTACTACCAATTAGGACTTAGAGAAGAAAGTAAGTAGTTTTGACGATGGTGTAGGTGTGAAGTGAGCTAGATTATAAAACTGTTCACGTTTATTGACAGCATGATTTACTTAATTTCAAAGTTCAGTGGGGGTATTTAGGTGTAGTTTGGACATTTGACTATAGTAATGCAATCTTCGAATGTTCACTGTAATGGCTTAAATTCATCAAATTGTAATTTTTCAACTTGGTTTTATAAGTGAACTACCTCTACAACTGAATAAAGAGATGAATAGTCAGTTTCAAATGACGGAGAGGATCGGAAGATGATTGCATCACATATGGATCTTTTTATTAGTTTGATTCCTGAAGTCATAGCAGAAGCTGTCGTGTACTTGTGGATAGAAACGACTGACTGTTTTTTTCCTTCTTTGAACAGAGTTACACATACAATGTAACATTTTTTTCTTATTTGGCTGGTGTTCACTGTATCCATGATTTTTATCGTTGTTTTTATTCCCGCTCTAGTCTGTTCTGTATATATATATGTGTAGGTGCTCACTCTGTACCCAATCGACACTTCAAATTAGTCATGAGGAGCTCTGTGAAACCTCACTTCAGTTATATTGGTGGTCTAAAGTTGACAGTGCCACTGAATATATATGCGTTTTTTTTCACGGTTATTTATTGTTTTATGAACCAACAGTAATTGTGTAGTAGCGATGGTATTTGCAACTTCTATACCTGATATCCAAATAACTTTTCAGTATGAAAAGATACTTTATTTCGAGTAAATTTTTTTATTATAATTATCATTGATCGATCTAGTTTTTCAACTTCCAAATCGTTCGTCACATACTAAGACTTACTTTCGGCATATAAAATAGCTTAGTATCATAAATCCTCCTTGGAAATTAAATGTAGTTTGGGAAAATACTATAAACACCTATCAGGTAGATACTAAGCGTCCCTGTCAGTTGCAAGAATGTTTAGTTTCTCAATAATGACTAGATTTAAAGCAGATTCTTGTGGTTATTACATGTTTATTTTCTTGGATACTAAATTAATATTGTATTTCACCATTCTGTAATTTTTAGGCTCCGGCTTTGAGTATAACTCCCAATATTCAGCCTGGTTCCTCTGGCCTCGCAATATTCGTCGAACTTCTTCATTCACCTCATGAATCTATCCAACGCGCTGCAGCTGGCGTTCTCGCCGAGGTTTCACAGGATCGTGATGGTCTTGAGGCTCTAGCCACTTTACCTGGTGCAGGCTCTAGATTTGATGAGTTGGTTCGGTCTAGAAATGAAGCCATCTCAACGTATGCCTCCGCAGTAGTTATTCGGCTTGCTGAGGAACGCAGAGGCGTTGGCGGTAATTCTTACATCTTTCCATCTCATATAGAATCACTGAATACACCACCTTTACCTATGGATACTGGGGAAGTTTATCATGTACCTTCTGTTCAACCTGTCCAACATTCAACTGGTGGTTCACATCCTGGCGTGCCTTCATTTCCTCCTCACGGAAATTGGAGCCATCCTCCTTTGCAAACTCATTCCCAAGAACAGGGGAACACGTATGGAGGTTCTTCAAACTCTTTGATGGCAATGCTTGGGCCACTTCCGCCTGGTTGTAAGAGTAAGTTGTACTATATTTCTTAAGTTTTGTTCTACATAGTCGCCATCAATGTAGAGGTGAGGTTGGAAGAATTGAGTAGTCAATGGTTTATTGTTTGACAGTCAGTATTTTTACACGATCTAGCTACAATACTTGGTTTCGGTGTATGTTTCGAATTCTTGTTTGCTCTAATATGTCATTGTTGACCGTCTGTGAAGTTCATGACACTTGTCTTGTCATTTTTTGGCACTCGTAAATTGCATGCACTTACATTCTGTTCTAGTTGCGTTGGTATTTGGGATTGTAGTTCAATAGTCACCTCTTCAAACAACAGTTGTTCTCAGTTAGGTGTTTTTTGGGAATAGTTATCCTAGTTATTTGCGCTTGCCACTATTGGGTTGAGTGAAAGTTGACAAGCAATAATAACGCATCACTATTAGAGTTGAATGTCTTTCAGTAACAACCTAATTGAATATTAACAGCTTTCAGAACTCTCAACTGATAAAAGAAGAGGCTAGTTCACCTAATTTATTATCATCAACATTCTGCCAGACTCAGGTTTAAAGGTGACTGTTTCTACTCGCTTTCATCAGTGTTTTAAAAAAATGTACCACAGAGTGTAGATAGTATTTAGAATGGATGAGTTGCAGACCTAATAACAGTAACAGAGTTACTTTCTTCCATTTTTAATATGAAGCTTTGAGGTTATGGGAGATCAGAGATCTATCGTTACTGTAAAAGTACCAAATAGACAAGGAAGGAATGTAGTCTTTAATTATGAGTATCGCTAGCGACTTAAGCCAAAGAAACAGCGTTCCTCTAGACCGATCACACTACCGACTCCGTATGGGGTCTTTCAGCGTCTGGGCCTTATGTACAATTCTGTTCAAATAACCATTTGTTCCTGGTGGTCATTAATGTCAAACATGGGGAAAGATATCGCCTAACCTGGCGACCTATACCATCAAATCGAATATGGACACTCAAGTAGATCACATAGCGATAAACCATCAATGCAAGGGGCCGGTAGAAAACTGCCGATCCTCATGGAACACCTGTGTATACTGATCAATCACCGGTTCGTGCACATATATGCCTATAACTGGACGGGCCACTACGCCACCAAATTGAGAACACAGTTTTAATTTAAGGAATAAATAACTGAATACCTACCTGAGTGTTACAATGGCACCCCATCGTGTCATAATACCCAGTGAGCTGTAGAAACAATGTTGAAGGCTGTGAGCAACTTGAAACCATAGGTTAGTAAATGCCGGGGGACTTTTGCTACTTCATGTGAACTGATAGATGCAAGAAGACTAATTCTGTCGGGCTCCAAAAATGAGGAGCAAAAGTCACTCAAATGCAACCTAACTGAAAACTTCAATGGTCATGAACAGTGGTGTGTGACAAAAGCCAAAGATGTGGCAGAGGAATCAGCAGTAGGTAAGAAATGAAACACTTAACTCAGCGAGCCACGGCTCCGAAAAATGGGGCTTAAGAGGAGTAAACTTGAGGAAAGCACGTAAGTTTCCAGCACAGATGAGGGCTATTCACTATATATTCACCATTTGACAGGTTGTAGAAAACAGGTGTACTTACTGCTGTCCAAAACTTCATTTTTCTGACCTTAAGACATTTGAATGTCTAGTAAGAGGTGCTGTGGCAATGTTTCATTGTAAATAGAGTACCAAGACAGTTTCTTATGCTAATAAAGGTACTCTAGTCCATCTCATACGACCATGTGCGAGCTAATGAAGGGTAGTGTTTGATGGAACAACAACTATTAGTGTCCACCAAGCATGTTAAGTGTCGCATTTGTTATTTGGTTTCGTCATAGGTGTGTTAATCAATGTAATACTGTTCGATTTCGGGTGCTGAAGAGCCAACGACGGGGGTTGGTATAAATTACTTAGCTGAGGCCCTCAGGTTGCTAAAAATCATTAATTTGGAGTTTTTCGGTGAAATGGCTCAAAATATTATGCACTGGCGTAGACGAAGGATTAACTCCTTGTTATTATCGAGATTCTGAAACTCCTCACTAATCTCCATGTAACTGCTTCCTTTCATTTTCTTGTATATCTTCAGTCATTAGTGTTTCGTTGCATTTATTTTCTGGACTTTTACATGTACCTTTTGTGTGTATGAAAACTTGAACCGATAGACTTTTGTGTTCTGCGTTGACAAGTCAGTCAGTCTTATGTAATTTGTCGTATAGTAATCAGATGTGCATAAGATTATTATCGTTGCTATTACTTAAAGCACACTTGATACATTACGGGCGTCAAGAGATGCGTCACGTAAAAATAAAAATGACGATTTATAAAGAAAATAGGGACAGAATAAATATAGGAAGGTCATTCAGAGGGCAAGCAAGCAAGATCACTCAACATTCATCACTTCATGTTGCTTTTAGAAAGAGAAGATGGCAAGTTCGAAAAAGACACACTGTTTCAAGATATCTGTGTTAGATATTGCTATGGAGGTCAGCATTTTGAGGACTATTAACTAACCACTCAAAAGGACATAGGCAAGCTGAGATTTCAAACGAAGACGAAAAGTTGACAAAAGAGAAGGCACCGAAAGTAGTAAAGCTGGCAAAAATAAAATAAAAAGGTCTATGTATGCAAATAAAGTCAAAAAAGAATACGTTGCTAAAAATATGATTGTAGTCTGTAACAGTGAGCACGGGGTTATAATCTCATGGAATTATTGTCTCGTAGTTTTTGTTCGAGGGCTAGGATACTTCCTGGGTGTTCAAACCGAAGCAGATGGTTGTACTGAGGGGACCACCCTACGATCCTTTGACTCGAAGTCTGATCCTCAAAGCAGTGGAGCTGCGTTCATCACATGGTTTCCGGTGACCGAAATTAGTTCATGCTTCATTCAATCCTTTCGGATTCTGGAGCCCATGTACATCATAGGTTTGGAGTCAGGGTTTTTCAGTCTCCGCTCTGGGTAGATCTGCATGTTCAGCGTTCCGGTTGTAAGCGCTAGATGTCCGCATTTGCACCTTGACTTTTTTGAGGAATACCCTTGCCAGCTGAAGATAGTGAATACGAATTACCGGACAAAGGCATTGTACACCTAGCCGCATGTAGATAGTTGCAGTTTTGATACAGTGTTTAACTTTCATTATTCCTTTTTTCGACTACGGCGAAGCTCAACAATAGCATCCTAGGAGTGCGAACGCTCCAATGACCTTGAGCGCATGCTAGTCGTTGGCTGACGGCACCTGTCACTATCATAGCTGAAATATCAACGCTGTTCACCAACTAAGCAGCAAATTATACTCAGATCACGTTTCTAAGTAATGTTTGGACAGTGTGTTAATAACTCGTTAGGGTTAGGATCAGGGTCATAATTAGCATTGGGGTTAGGATAAGGGATGTAATCATGGTTAGTGCTAGTTTAGGATTAGGGTCAGGATTAAGGTTAGAGTGAAGACTAGGGATAGATTTAGAGTTGATGTCAATTATTTTAATTTGTTTTCTTATCCACATTTTCCTGGTAAGCAGTCGTCGGTCCTCTTACTGCAAACCATAGTAATTCAACTGAGGGCTTTTGGGGATGACTGCACAATAGGATAAGAGAGATAAACGTTTCTTAAAAACAGCTCATCTGCAGTCACCTCGGTGAATACATGTAGAGAAACTAGTCTTACTCCTCATTATAACTGGGACGTATCTTTAAGCCATATCAGAGAAAGAAACCCTGTTTAATGTGTTTTCATAAATTTTCCTGTAAATATACGTCATTTTTTCACAAAAATCACTTGTTTTTATGATTGATCGGCTGGAGGTCACTCGTGGGTTCGCATCCCTTGGGACGCTCTTGTTGAACTTTACCTCGACTGCATCCCTATTATTATTATTACTACATGATTACTATTTTTTATGTCTCCATTTCAGATTCCGTATGCGGTGATTGCTGCTCATATTGGAATGATTGTGGTCCTGCTGGAACATGCTCTGATCCAAATTGCATTTATAATACCAACAATAGTAATAATGCCACCAATATTAGCAATAGTCAATCTTCTGGAACGTATTCAGAGTTGCAGCCAGTAAAGGTGTATCATAATGTCCGTCCACCAAGTCGTACGGGATTCATGAACTGTGGTACCTCCGCCTATACCGCAGGATCAACATTTTTACCCCCATCTGTTCAGAATTTCGACAATAATAGTTCAGTGCAAGGACATAATTCTATTTACCAGGGAGGAATGAGTGTCACGCCACGTCGGTCGTGTACTGGAAGTGTAAATACAAGTGGATATTTAAGTCCTGGCAGTGAAATGTTTGTGAATCCTTCACCATCGGAATACAAGCCGTCAATTCATCCAGATGGACAAGCGGTAGTATTACGATCATCTCGCTTAGAGCAATCCCATAGTACTACAAATTCTTCGCCTGCAATGCCTTCACAAAATGTCAGTACTGGTTATCTCAGTCCAGATATGATGGTGCTAGAGGAAAACGATTCTGATTGGTTAGGTGGTCCTGCTGTTATGTGATCGTTTCTTTTTTTCTTCTGTTTTTATTTCAGTGAAGTCACTTCACACAAGTCTTTTTACCCCGCACCCCCGCGCCTAGTCGTTTTTTTCGTTCTAGCACATTCTGGTGCCTCTAAACACATTAATTTCGCGAAAGGCATCTCAATCAATATATTGAGATAAAATTTGATATTCGACTCTTTCCCCCTCCCCCCCCAATGCCAATCAATGGCTACTGGTTATCCACAAGTGCACTAATTTCAGCCTTTCAATGCAATAACTTTTTGTTTGTTTTCAGTGTACTTGTCTTCTACGTGTGTGTGTGTGTGCGTGTGTGTGGGTTTCTTTTTTTATGCCTTTCGACTTTCGATGAGCTTTTCGATTGTGGGCAATATTGTTTTCTGTTTGCTGCATGGATTCTGACTTTCGTCACTTTCATTCACAGCCGTGTTTCATATGGATGTGAGGATGATGACGTTTGTTGTGCTCGTTCGTTTTGTGTACCAGCTCCTCTCGCTCTCTCTCTCTCTCTGTCCATCATGAATGTTGCCACCATCAGTTCACATCGTTGGATATTTATTGATTGATTAATTCAATCTTGGAACATTGTGAACACTGGGAAACAATCGGATATTGCAATGCTTGTTCAGGTATATATATATTCTTTTTGCCTTTTTAATACTTCACCATGAGAATATTATAATACGTTGTCGTCGCTGCTTGCTTGCTTGGTTGCCTGCTTCCTTGCTCGCTTGCTTAACTCGTATTGTTTGTTCCCCATCCTTTATCCCTTTTTATCGCATTGTAATTACAATTTAATTCGTTGTATGCGCGTGAATAGGCAGTTTCAGGTCAGTCAGTGCTTTTATTTATATACTAATGATGGGTGCCTATAGTATCATTATGCAATACATTTATTATTACTATTATTATTATTATTATGATCATACACTGTTTTTTACACATTCTAGCGCCATTTATCATAATTAATCCTTCATGTTTTAATCAAAGTACGTACATATACTATTATTATTATTATTATTTCTATTATTTATACATTTTGCAATATTAACAATTTTATTAATTTTAATTTTAATCTGTGTTTTCGCTTCTCTTTACTTTTCGGTTGTTGTTGCTGTTGTTCTTGTTGTTGTTCTTTTCTATGATTTTATTATTCATATTCATTCGTGTGCAATACTACTGCAGCACCTTCTCTTATCAAATAAATCAACACTAGTATCTTATTTGACTTTTTGAAAAAGAAATCAAATTCTCTCTTAATATATGTCTCGGGATTATTGATAGTTTTGAAATTTTCAGAAAGTAGGGTGAGTAAGAGAAGTGAGATGATTTAGTGGAGATGGGTGGTGGTTCCACTGGCTTAGCTACTCAACTCTTCTAGCCAGTAGTGGGTCTGAGGTTCGAATAATCCCTGATGCGCCTACTTCAGTCTGGGCAACTGAGTTTTAGTAGTAGTGTAACAACGGAAGGTGAGACACGGAAGCAAAGGTATATTTTCAACTGATCACACCGCTGTTTATATCCATACAGTTTATATTCTTTAACCAATCATTGAGCGAGTGATTTTGGTTTACTACATTAAACGATATGAAATAGAATGTTCAAATATACATGTAGTATTCTGTTGCCAATGCAGTATTGAACTGTCGGAATATATGGGAATAATATCCCATTGAAACATATTGTCTGTATCAAACCACCACACTCGTTGATCCGATTTTCATGGTGCTTGCGTCTTTGTTCACTCGTCTTGCTGTATCCAGTTCTGGAGCTCGCTGACGTCCACCCGCTCCTCTTTGTTTGCATTTCTCATCGTATATACGTGACCCTATCTCGCGGTGACCGTGTATGATCCTTCCCACTTTGGGAGCAGTTTGCATGACCCAGGCGCGTATTCGCCGGTGCTTCGGCTCACACTGTCATATGCTGCCGTTGCCCGACCTCTCAGAAGCGTTCCAAGTAAAAGCCTCTTCGCTGACGGATCTTGAACGCCATTCAACTCCTTGACAGCCTCGATGTCCTGCAAGAAGTTGCATATGTCTCCTTCTTCAAAAACTGCAGGGCATAGGCTTTCTTTTGTCGGCAGGCGGTGACACCAAATGTAACAGTAGAAGGCGAGACATAGAAGCTAAAGGTATATTTTCAAGTAGTCAAACCGATATATATATATATATATATATATATATATAGACACTAAATGACATGAAATAGAATGTCCCAATATACATATAGTATTCTGTTGCTCATGCAGTATTGAACTGTGGAAATATGTGAGAGTAATATCCCATTGAAACACATTGTCTGTGTCAAACCACGACAGCGGTCTCACTGAGACAATATCTGTGTGGCTCACAGCCTAGAACACGAAAGGCCTGTTCAATGAACTGAGCTGAAATAATAATAAGAAGTAATGGGATTATAAATCAGTATACTTAGAGACTGAAGCAGTGTACATTTCACTTTGATATTGTGCCGGTAAATGTCACTGTCATATGTCTTATACGAAAGTATATTTAGAAAGGCATAGTAAATTATGCGTATTCAGACCATTCATTTTCTGCATACAATTAATTTAGGCGATTTAGAGATATAATAGACGTTCACGTGGAATCATTATTAGCTTTGAGCATATTATATTTATGAGGTTTTAGTTTCTTTAACACTGAGGGATTAATTACGTCTTGCGCTCAGTATTATGCCTCTATAGGAAACGGTCAGCAAAATAGGGCCTTTTCAATAATAAATAATTATATTTAGTGATTAGCTGTCAAAACCACTCTAATTCACCCAGTGTGTGAGACTGTATAATTTTCCTTCATATCATGTACACTTCTGTGTTTATTCCTCAAATCTGGATCTAGTTTACATTGTGCTTGGGAGATAATCTGATTGGTTAGCCTTGGGTCGATCGCCAACCAATCAAAACAGTTGATTGTTCACTGACCTAACTAACTTTTCTTGTTGTTTTAAAAAGAACATAACTATTATGTGGTTTTCCCTAGTAGGAAAAGTTTGTTACTAATTCTCTTATCTTCTGCCGTTACAAGTACACAAGACTTGTTTTAAAAAAATTTCAGTTAGATCGTTTGACTCAAATATCACTAGAAGAATATCTTCTTATTTAAAGGCCGAAAATACCCATTGAATCATGCAGAAAGTAAAAGACAATTTAGCGAAGATAATTTTCTTTATTTACGAGATCGTCTGCAGAGACTGTACAATCGTATTTATATTTACTATAAGAGTAAATGTTTGTCTATTATTGAGTAATAAAGAGGAACATAGTTGTCACTGGCACATTGAAAGAAAGGGTTCGAAATTTAATAAGATTTAAACCTGTTATTGAATGAGTGTTCAATTGACAAGTGTGAAGTGGGTGAGAAAATGTACAAAATGGCATGAAGGAGTGTTGATAGTGAATTAATTACTAAAAATCGTGAACGATTGCAGAAAATCGTTGGGTCATATTGAAAAATTGCCAGTGCCTCCGCCATACACATATGTTGAGACCTAACATCAATTGTATTATTCAGTCTGACCTTGTAGGCAATCTTAAAAGATGACTTCTGTGGTGCTGCATAGTCTGAGTTCACCAGATGCTTGAGTATTTATTAATCAGGTAATTGTCCCACGTTCTCTTTTCGCTAACCCTGTCGAATAATTTTCGGGAAGTGTGCGCTTTGTGCTTTCGGAGTGGAATGTACAGCTTCAAGTTTTGAGGTTTCAGTAGCGGTGGTGTTTTTTGTTTTTACGGAGTGGAGGTGTTAACCCCGCTCCCAACCTTCCCTCTTCCCCAGGCTTACTATCATGAGGTTTAAGTGTACGTCGGTCGGGAATCGAAACCGGACCACGTGTGTGGTTGGGAAGCATTTTATTACTGGACCACCGGCGCTCACCTAGAGGACTATAATAGTACACAAATCCACGAAATGTACTCAACCTAGTATTTTATGCATTGCTTAGTGATGATGCAGCATGTTGTACGTGACAGTAATCTCCATGACTTAATATTTGTTATCCTCCTCCATAGGGGATGGATGCAATTAAACTACATACTTCTGGAGAATATGGAGTTGAGTTCCGTTAAGGATATAAAAGGGACTAAAATTATTAGATGGCATATTTCTGGTCTTACCATAATTTTAATTCTTCACTGTATATCAGGCTATTTCAACTACTGAATGCAAGAAAATTGTTCATTAGATTAGTAGTCTAATTAGTGGTGTAACATGAGAAGATAAGAAATTTGGTAACAAAACTTTATTAAGAAAAAACATGTCATGTTTTTTACATTCTTCGCCACATTAAAGTTCGGCTAGGTTAGAGGCGAATAAGCTGTGTTCTGATTGGTTGGAAACCGACCCAAGGTTAAACAAGTTGTCCAATGAGGTTATTTTATGTCCACAACGTAGACCCAGCCATTGACTTAATGTGTTGATTGAAACTTTAGCCACTTTCTATCAATCGACATCACAGTACAGTGGTATTTTGTTTTGCAACTTAAGGTATTTCCATTTTAAGCAGTCGTAATCAGTGTATTCAGTCTTTTAAGGAGGATGTTTACAGTGTCCCTGAATCAAAACATTGCGAATTGGTCGCGCTATGTCATCAGTTGGCAGAATTTAGAACTCATGGGCTGGTTGGCCATTGGATCGGGTCCCAGTGAGTGGCTTAATGGTCTACGAGCTTGCTGGCCTTGTAACCAGAAGGTCCTGGGTTCGAACCCTGGTGGTGGGTGCGTACCACCGAAGAGTCCCAAACTAGGCTGATGAAACAGCTGTCCAGTACTCCCTGATGTGGTTTTCCAGTGGTTCTCTAACTGATGTCAGCTCATGGTGAAATCCTCCAACCAATCAAATAAGGAAAGTTCATTTTCTCTTCTGATCACCTTCATGCGATATTTTCATAGAATATTGAATTTTCAAATAAATCAAACAGTAGTGCATTTCATTCATTTAACTTAAACTATCTGTTGAAATAATCAAACATTCTATGATCAG